CATATTGCAGCTCAGACGCCTAGTGATCCTCCTGTTTTCAGCCTCCCCAGTGCTGGGATTATAGGTGTGCACCCCCACAGCTTGTCATGGTGTCCCGCTCAGCGCCGCATGTGGTGTTGGGGATCAAACTCTGGTCCCTGCTCTTGCCTAAACAGGCATTTAGTCTGCTGAACTATCTCACCAACCTTCACAAAGATATTTTCTATCTCTGTGGCCCTTGTTCCTCTCTCTAACAGGGACTGCGGCCTACGCCAGCAGTAGGATGTCATGGCTTGTTTTACACTCTGCTACTGGGGTCCCATCTGTGCAAACTTGTCTGTTTTATTTGCTTTCATTTTTATGTACTTTTGTCTTTGATAGTGCACGTTAGGATTATAGTACCTCTCTAATAAATTTCTTTTTAGAATTAAGTTTATTAGTACATTTTAGATAAATATAACGATGGTATTCACCATGGGATTTTTTGACAGTGTATATTTTAATTTTTCTTTTTTCCCAATTCCCTCTCCTCCTTTCACCCTGCTTCCCCTCCCTATTTATAAAGCTTTGTTTCTATTTTATCTTTATAAAAATCGTTTTATCATCTTTGCCCATTCCTCTCCCCATCCTAGTTCCTCTTTCCTTTTGAACAATTTCTTCCCATTTCACAATATCTATTGTGCATTTTGGTCCTTATTACTCTTTAAGTTTCCCACATGGAGACAATAAGATGTTCACATATATGAGTTCAATATATTTCACCTGAGAGTATGGTCTCAGATTGCATCCATTTACCTAGAAATGTCTCAAGTTTATCTTTCCTGATGGCAGAGTAGTAGCCCATTGTATTAAAAAAAAAACCCACAATTTTTTTATCCATTCCACTATTGATGGGTTTGTTTTAAAGATTTAGCTATAATTGCTTCTATAAACACAGGTGCAGCTATATTACCATGGCATGATATTCTTCCGGGAAAAAACCCAGATGCACAGCTGGGTCAGATGGAACCTCTAATTCTATTTATGAGGACTCTCCATACTGAGTTCCACAGTGATTAGACCAGTCTGCACTACAACCAGCAGTGGAGAAGGGCTCCTTCTCCCCACACGCCCACAACATTGGTTATTAGTTGATTTCATTTCCTTTCTTTTTCTAAGTGTATTTAGTACAGGGGCTACTGGGGCTACAGCATCTCACTACACAGATGGGACTCTTAGTGATCCTCCTGTTTTCAGCTTTCCAAGTGCTGGGATTACAGGCGCACACTACCATGCCCAGTCTCAGTTGCTGTCTCAGCGCGCCATGGGAGTGGGGCTGGCAGGGCATACTGGGGATCAAACCCCAGCTACTGCACTTGCCTAAGCAAGGTCTTTAGTCCTCTGAGCTATCCGGCCAGACTTGGTTAATTTCTTGATGACAGCCATCCTTTCTGGAGTGAGATGAAATCTCAGCATTGTTTTAATTTGCATTTCTCCAATAACAAGTGATATTGGATTTATTTCCCCATTTGTATTTCTTCATCCGAGAAGGGTCTATTCATTTCAGATGCCGATCTTTGGATTAGGTCTTTAAAATTGGGGGGGGGTCTAATTTTTCTCAATTCTTTATAAGTTCTAGGTATAAGTCTTTATATAGTGCAGTTGTCTAAAGAACGACTGGATAATTTTTTTTTCCATGTGAGGATTGTCTTTTCACACCACTGGTGATTTCTTGCTATGCAGAAACTTTTTAACAGAATGAGATCCCAGTTTTTGATTCTTTGTATTATTTCCCATGCAATTGTTTTTTTAAATGAAATCTTTTCCTCTACTTATGTCTTAAAGAGTTCTGTCTACTCTTTTCCAGCAGATTTAATGTTTTTATACCTAGATCTTTGACTCCTTTCTATTTTACTTTTGTGCATGGTAAGAGACATGGATCTAGTTTTAGTCTTTGGTGTGTGGAAAACCAGTTTTTTGAGCACCATTTATTAAAGAGGCCATCTTTCTTCCGGTGAATGTGCTTGACACCTTTATCAAAGATAAAACTACTTAGTGTGTTCAGAGTTGTTCTATATCTAATCCATTTCACTCAAGTCTGTCTTTTTGACAATACCATGCTGATTTCATCATAGTAGCTTTGTGGTATAATTTCAAGTCAGGACTTATAATACCCCCTGCCTTGCCTTTGTTGCCAAGAATTGCTCTTCTAAGTCTTTTCTGGTACTAAATGAATTTTAGGAATGTTTTCTTTAGTTCTGGAAGGTAGGCTAGTGGTATTTTGACTGAGATTGTATTACATCGCTATAAAAGGACCAGTCATATAGCTCAGCAGGTTAAAGTGACTGCTTAGGCAGACACAGGGGCCAGGAGTTCAATCTCCAGGCCTGTCATGCTGGTCCCACCCCCAGGGTGCCCTGAGATGGCGATTGAGACTGAGTGTGGTGGCGTGCATCTGTAATCCCAGCGCTTGAAAGGCTGAAAACAGGAGGATCACTATGAGTTCAAACTGTGTAGTGAGACCCTTAGACCCTGTACTAAATACATTAAAAATAAATAAATAAAATAAAAGACAATAAAGCTCTTTTCCCTGTTTCCTTTTGCCTGCTTCTCTGCTGCAACACTGTCTAAAAAAGCCTATCAGTAGATGTTCATATGAGCTTTCATGGAAAGTTGGCCCATGAGTAGGGATTTATCCTCAATATTTGAACCCAAGTTCTTTGTGCTTCATTTAAGTAAATCAGTGCCTATTATTCTTCACTTTTTTGGCATCAGTGTAAAAACTTAGAATTTCTAAGTTGAAAGTATTCTAGAAATCATTCTAGTCCCAAACTCTTCTTTAGCCTGTGGGGAGACTAAGACTCTTAGTCATGTGACATATAGTAGATTGTATTTTATTTGGTCTCTGGAAAAAGTCTCTGTGATCTTTCTACAACAGAATAAGCAAAATATTTCTAGGTACATTCTCCTATACGACAGGCTCAGGGTCTCATACATAAATCTCTACAGTCCAGTTTTGGTCAGTGAAAATTAGTCATTATGAGAGTAAGAAGAGCTTGGGATTTGATTTAGACATTAGTCCAGAATCTGAATTAGCCATTGATAAGAAAGATACTAGGTTGTATTCTCAGTCTTTCTGAATTAGGTTTTCTGTAAAATATGATTAATAATATATGATTAACTTCAAGAAATGACCTATGATATTGTATTTAAGAGTTTGGAACATGATTAATAAGCAGAAACTCTGTTTATAAAATAATGCTGCTTAAAATTATTTCAATTATTTTTCTCACATACTGAGATTTATTTTGTTTCCTCTTTATAAAATGAAGCAACCACGTTATGCATTTATTTAGTTTCCTTTCTCTGTAGAAAGTTTAGAATTTAATTTGCACGGTCATCAATATTCCCGAGTTCACTCACTTACATGCTGAGAATGTTCCCCCTTATTTCTGAGAGCTAAGCACTTATATCCTTGTACACCCAAGTCATCTCAGCTTGGTGGTGAAGTTCATTTGGAGACATTTTACAATGCCATTGTCATCTCTGGATGAACACCTATCGTCAGTTATTAAATATCTACAGCTGGTCCAAGTGGAAGAACGTAATCATTGCAGGTTGATAACTTACCCTTCAGCTTCATGGAGACTAAAGTCAGCAATATTCACATAAGATCCAGGTAGATATTAGTGGACCAGTCTTCATTCAGAACTAAGTCCTGGGCTAACAAATATGCCTTCTACAAGTTCCTTCTTAGTGTTTTTGACAAAAACATAATACTGAAATGGAAGCTCCTTCACCCTGACCCAATCCCACTGAAAAAAAAAATCTTTTAAAATTATCATGAAACTCTGTCCATTAATAAGACTTTGTACTCTGACATTCACTTTCCCATGGGTGATTTATCTCTACTGTAAACACCTCTCTAAGATTCTTATTTTTACTCTTTAGGAGCACAGCCCAGAAGTTAGTTAGTTTACTGTCACAAAGTAAATCAAGGAAACATAAATGTTGAGAGCAATTGTTTGGTGTTTGGATTGCACTCTTGTCCTTTCATGATTAGATGTGTGTGCTTCTCTAGTTCAGTTAATCTGTGAAGTATGAAAAATTACTTGTGAATTCTTTTTTCCAGTGTTCTACTAGGTAGTCACACTGGAGATTGAAGATGGCCACCAGTGGGAGGTGGTGCCACAGTACCTCAGCTGCTCCACGAGGAACCTGACACACAGACCAAGAAATGCAATGTGTGTGGAGATAAGAAGCCAGCCAGCACCTGTGCTGTCATGGGCAAGAAGTGGAGAAGTGTTGAAGCTGTGATTAAACAGCCGTGGACTCTCAGAGGGTTCTCATGCAAGCTCATGTCCTTCTCCCCTAGATTTGGAGCTTTATTGGGTGCTGGGTCGAGTTCCATCCTGACCTGGTCTACTGCACACTAACCCTCCCCTCTTGTGACTCACTGTTGTAAATTTGCCAAGGCTCAGTTTTTAGTCCAGGCATCAAATTGTGATTTGGGGCTTCCACTTTAGCTTGACTCAGAGCTTTTGTGAATGCTGAGCCCCAGTGTTTCCTCTCTGCATTTCTGCATCATGCCCTCCAAGCTGCAGAGAATTTTACCAGCACTGTGGCTCCTCGGGGTCCTGTCTTTAATGTGGTGTCCATCTGTCCTGTGTGGTGAGTACAGAGGTTGTGGGTAAAGGGGGAGACTGTACCCCAAGGGAGGGAGAAGAACACTTTTCTGAAAATTGATCAAATGCTCTTAGTTCAACATAATTTTACAGAAATGAAACACATTTTAAAGAAATACCTCTAAATAGTTTTCATTCTTCCAAAATAAGCTATAATTGGTTGTGAAGCTAAATTTTACAAATACCTTAGTAATTGATTTAGTTTTTTAAAAAGCCTTTTTATTTGGTTATTTATTGATGCTTAAATGAATACTCAAATAATTTCTTCTGAGATGTTATTTTTTTCTTATTGCATTAGTGATTTAGTAAATGTTTGCTTTTGAGAAAGTAAAATTTAAAAATATTATAAGACCTTTTTCTCATGAGTGAATTATTAGAGTCAAATTAAAGATTAAAAATCTCTGTATGAACTGAAAACCTTGTATAAGTGTGAGGCATAGCACTGTAATTTAGAGAAAAGTTGTTCCCAATCAAAGTGTTTGTATTCTGACATGGTTTCTTTTATGAGAAAAATTTTCTCAGACTGTTAGAAGTACTTATATGCATATCCTCAGCATTGTGTTTTTGAGTGTTTAAAGTAGAACATTCTGTACAGAATTGAAAGTCAACTTAACACGAAAGAAAAAGTTCACCAATATCCTTGCTAATCTCTAGGCAGGTTTTGTTCTATATTCAGTTTTGTTCCATAATCAGTATGATGTATTTTTGCAATCCTGATGACACGTGGATTAAGTCCATGCCAAGCATAATGCAACTTTGTCACCCTGGTGAAAACATCGGGAGAATTTGTGAAGTGTACTTTCTAGGTCCCCAGAATGATCCAAAACTGTCTAGGCTTGGAACTTTGTTAATATTACAGAATGACTCCAGAGTTGTTTTGTCTTTTCTTTTCTTTCTTTCTTTTTTTTTTCTTTCTTTTTTTTTTTTTTTTTTTTTTTTTGGTGGAACCAGGGATTGAACTCAGGCCCTTGCACTTGCCAGGCAAGTGTTTATTCTATTGAGCCATCTCTCTCTCTGTTTTTTTTTTTTTTTAAGGTGTTTTACTTTAGAACTTTTATACATCCAAATAACTGGTATTTTTAAAGGAATATTTAAAAGGTAGGTAAAAAGATCCTTTCAATTCGGGTGGCTTTGCTGTCTTGGGAATGCCCAGGCTGCGGCCTGGTCCTCCTTTCTCATTGCCCTGATCTGCCAGGCCTCTCTTTCCTGAGACAGGGGAGGTCAACTGTCCCACAAACCACTGGAAGCTGTCATGATTTCTCTGCATTTATGCCCTTTTCCAATCCCTCAAAGCCACCTCACTGTGGTCCTTGCTACTCTACCTGCTATATAATCTGTACCTGCCTTCATTTTCTTTTACAAATATCAATCTTCTGTTGCCTTTTCTTTGCTCAGACTGTTACCCCAACATGACAAACCTGCCCATCCCTCACTACTTATGCAGTTTTTTCCTACACCTCAGAATATCTTTTATCCTGAAGAATATACTATCTTATTCCCTTCCCACTTGGCTCTGTCTGTCTCCTCCTGACACCCTTCTTGGCCTCCCTTGTCTCTCACATGAGTTCAAATTGAACAGTGCTGTGATTTACCACTTGTATGATCAGGCCCGAGGCGTCTTACCATGCTAAGAGGATGTGACTGCTGAGCCTAATGGGATGAGTTCTAGAAATACTTATTAGAAAGGTCAATTAGAAAAGACCTTTTCCTCATGAATGTGTTTCATCTGAACCTAGGAGAGTGCGCCCATAAACCTTAGACTTGTACACAGCTTGTGTTTATTTGGGACTTGTGATGTCAAAAACAGAGATACAGGTCATCAGCACACATTCATGATGTTGAAAACACAACAAATTATAAATTCAAGTAGCATAAGTTAGCTATTAAATAGTACTTGGAGATTATGAATCAAAGCAATAGTGAATATGGGCTTTTGAGCAGGGCCGGCATGGCTTGTGGTGCCAGGGATCAAACCTCGTCCCCGGTGCTCTTCCTGAGCAGGCAATTTAGTCTGCTGAGCTATCTGGCTGGCATTTATTTATTTATTTATTTATTTATTTATTTATTTATATGTATTTAATACAGGGTCTACAGGGTCTTACTACACAGATCAGACTCATGGTGATCCTCCTGTTTTCAGCCTCCCCAGCACTGGGATTACAGCCATGTGCCACTATGCCTGGACTCTGGCTGGCTTAGTCTTCCCTGGGAGCAGGGCAAGAGTGGCATGTGGGGCTGGGGATAGAACTGCAGTCCCTGAGCTTTTGCCTAAGCTTGCCTAAGCAAGTGTTTTAGTCTGCTGAGCTATCTCACCGGCCCCTGATTAGCATTTAGAGAGAATTTCTACAAGAAAATGATAGTTAATGTTGAAGTATCCACTAGAGAGGTCAAAGGAAATGTTTCTACTTATAGGTGGAAAAGTATTTTTATTTCCAGTAAATACATATTTGGGAAACAACTGAGACTTGGTTCTAGCTATCAGAGAAAATCTTACATTACTTTAGTACTATGTCTGACATTCTGCTGTATTTTATTTAAATGTATGCAGTGCTTGTGGGCCATGACAGTGGTGTCTTTCAGAGAGGTTTGACATCTATTTCTTGATTCAATGTACATATCACTGTTTTTGTTCTTCCCATGAGCTTTCTCTTAAAATATTCTAAAATGTAGCACTTTAGTGTTTGATGGGTGGATAGTTTTGACTGGAGAGCAAGGGCTCAGAGATTTTGGAGTGATTTCAAAACTGTTTTGGTTTCACACAAATGCACGTCTTTGCATTTAGCTTGAAATTGATCAAGTGTACTGCTCAAGCAATCTAACTTAAAAATGAATTCAGCCTCCATGAAAAAAAAAAATAGCAAGGTAAAGTTGGATGCACTTGTCAGTGACATGAAAGAAAGTCCAGGGGCTGAGCTTCTCACTCCAAGGCTGGCAGATGGGCAGCAAGAGTGATCTTACAGACAGAGAAGGTGGGCGGACAGAAAGAAGCCTCCTGCAAGCTATACAAATCCCCCCATCCAAGTACTAACCAGGCCCGACCCTGCTTAGTTTCTGAGATCAGATGAGATTGGGCACGTTCAGGGTGGTACAGCCGTAGACCAAGCTGCACAAGTCCTGAGCTGTGCCTACTGTTCATGCTCCACAAGTTCACAGTCTCCCCTTTATGTCCTGCCATCAAGGTTGCCCTTCGCCTCCTAACATTGAGCATGGACATCATAAACGAGTCAATGCCTACAATATTTTCAAATATGAGGTTGCATATGAATGTGAAGAAGGATTCATTTTGGTCGGGCAAGCAAAACTCAGCTGTAGTTCTTCACACTGGTCACCTGAAGCTCCCCGATGTAAAGGTAACTCTGCTCCCTTTTCAGCTCATGACCGAGTTAGCAAAGCTGTCCTGAGAGGATCCAGAGCAATGTTTGTCCCTTGCAGAGCCAGTACGAAGTTCTGATTTCATTGTTTTCAATTTAAATAATGAATATGTACAGATTGAATCCCACGCAAAAAATACAAAGAATGTAGATAAACGTGACATTGCTCCAGTTTCTCTCCGTCATGGAATTCAGCCTTAAATCAGCCCTGCTCCTAGCATCTTGTTTTTGTTTCCTAGTATATTTTATAGGCATCACATTTTATGAGTGTACAGTAGATCTGTGCCAACCCTCAAGGAAACTTGCCCTGGCATCATTTAGAATGGGAATGTGGCAGGCACTCCTGAACTAATTTGGAATATCCCAAGTAACAGGCATTCCCGCAGAGCTGCGTGCTGGCCACCACCTGCTGTAGTATGGGGTGTACATGGGAGGGCTTTTCATTTGCAGTCTGTTGAAGAGTCACAGTTGGGTGTACTAAGGGTCTTTACCGTAATGGCTGAGAATCTGGGGTCATATATATTTATTCATGTGCCATCCCTTTACTGGAAACCTTGATGACATTCACAAGTTTTTTACCCTTTTTTATCTCAAATTTCTTCCATGACATGAGAATAGTGATGATTATATATTTTGTAGTGCTATTGTGAGATTAAATGAGACAGGCACAAAAATGCTAATCTAAAAATCTGATGGGTATTCATCGTTACCAACACTGCTATCAAAATGAAAGAAGATATTATAATAAGTGCCTAAATGTAACTCAGCCTTATTATCTTAGACTATCAGCATGTCTTTTGTTCTTAGATGTCTAGACTGCCTAAAGTGTCTTTCCATTGTAGCTCTGTGTCTGAAACCAAAGATAGAAAATGGAAAGCTGTCTGTGAATAAGCCTAAGTACACTGAATCTGAAAATGTCACCGTCTTTTGTGACTCTGGCTTTGGAATGGTGGGTTCCCAAAACATCACTTGCTCTGGACGTGGAGACTGGTATCCACACGTGCCCAAGTGTGACTGGGTAAGTGAGCCAAGGTGGGCATTCTGTGCTGCCCAACAGGGTGCTCTCCTACAGAGCTCTGTCCAGCAGTGAATGGTGACATGGGACTTGTCCAGAATCATTTTTGACTTCCTCACAGGAGCTCTCTGTTTTCTTGACTCATGCTGCTTAGTTAGGTAGAAATGTCAATTTCTCTGTTTTCAAAAATAGGAGAAATTGAGTACTTTAGAGACTAGGTCCCACAGACTTGGGAGTATGATGTCCTGAACATCATTTCAAATCATGTAATGTGTAGTTATCCTACTTCTGGATGGTCAGCAGAAATGGCTCCAAACCCCTTCATTTAGGCTGCTGGCTCGAATACACCGATGTCCTCTGGGGAACACTTTGCCAGGCCCAACACGACTCCTGGTTTCCCCTGCTTAGCCACCAGTCCGAGCTGGTCTGAGCCCTGAGCTGTAGTCCTGCTGTCATCAGGATGCAGCTCCTCCATGATCACAGAGAATCCCCTCCATCATATCTGCTGCATCATCTCTTTTAGGAGGTCCCCAAAGGCTGTGAGCAAGTGGTCGCAGGCAGAAAGCTCATGCAGTGCCTGCCGAGCCTGGAGGATGTGAAAATGGCCCTGGAGGTGTATAAGCTGTCCCTGGAGAATGAACTACTGGAACTACAGAGAGACAAGCCCAGACAGCCCACGCTGGAGTAATCACTGCAACTTTTCCCGAAGAGAAAAGAAAATGTATGTGGGTGGCTTGCTGCCCTCAGTGCAGGTGGATCGCTTAACATGAGCAACTCTACAATCTCGTTGGCGCTGATAGTCATGACAGTAAATATTCATATCTAAAAATTATTTTGTCTTTTATTATATTAAAACATAATAAAAGGAGGTCCTAAGCAAGTCCATTCATTACACAAGCTTACGTATTCATGACTGGATACGTGCTTGGCTTCGTGGGCACAGAGCTTGTGTCTTCAGAGTTAAGATTCAGTGTCAACACACCCCTAGACTGTGTCTATCCCCTCATGGGAGACAGTCACGCCTCCTCTGAGCCCCAAACACATCACCTCACTCAACAGTTGCTGTCCTAGGAGGGGATCTGTGTCTGTGTCCAACCTCCTCACTCCAGCACCACGGAAGTAAAGCCTACCTGTCAGCCACTTGTGCATTCCCAAGTCTTCCATCTGTTTGGTCATCATTTTCCTTCGTATTAAATTAAAATGGCTTTAGCAGCTCTTGTACAAATGAAGAGAAATGCAGACCAATCTGCTGCGTGTTTCTGGGTACTCAGAAGGGTTTTTGCTTCACCAGTTCTTCATGGAGGAAGCACCCTGAGGGGTACCTCTTCCTCAGACTCCTACTTCCTGTGGGCGTTTCTTTCTCATTTTAATTTCAGCTCCACTTGCTATTTCTTTTCTGTTTTACAGAATTCTGTGAGGAACTTTGGCCCTTTGACTTGTTTTCTCCAAATACATTGTGAAGTGATCATGGAGTATGTCAGGCTCACAGAGGGGCTTGACCTGCTAGAGCAATGGGAGGGGTCAGCCACAATCTTAAAAGCTGTTATCCACTAGGCTCTAGGGATGTCCTTGGGTGTTGCCATTGTGTAGATTTTAGTTTCCTCAGAAAGCTCTGTGGGCAAGTGGTTAGGAAGATGAAGATTAGATAGATAATTGATGGTTCTAACATTTTATATATTCTCTAGTAACCGATTCCAAAGAAACGAAGATTTATGAATCTCTTGAAGTGGAATTTAAGACACTGATCTTAAGGAAATTCAATAACATAAGGAAGTACAGATGGATAATTCAGTGAAATTACCAAAACAATTGAGGACCTGTATGAGAAATTTCATAATGAATTACACATAGTAACAATTTAAAATGACCAAAGAGAAATCAGCTCCACAAAGAATTCAATGAGTACAATAAAAATACATTGAGAATTTCAATAGCAGATTAGATTAAGCAGAAGAAAGAATTTATATACTTGAAGACAGACCTTTTGAATTAATAGGGTTAGAGGTGAAGAAAAATGAAATGAAAAGTTAAAAAAGAAGAACTTATGAAACACCACTAAGTGAACAAATATTTACATGGTATTGTACTTGGCATTATAAAATAGAACTTTACCAGTTGGTTTTCTTTAGAAACAAGTGCCTTTCTGAGGCCTAGAGCATGAAAGACTTCCTCCTTTTGAGAAAAGGTTTCTGTAGGCAGAGAAAATGTAAAACAAAGCCCTCATTAGCCTTTTTGGTTAATCCTGACTAAAAAAGAGCTAAAATTTTACTGGAAAGAGCAATTAAAAAGACAAAGACAGAGAAAAGAAACCAGATAAAGAAAGATACTAAGTGGCACTGAGACTTACATCAGAGATCAGAAGGAAGACAAGCAGATAGGCAGGGCACGGGAAAAGCCAAGTGCTCAAGCCAAGATAGCTCTCTCCCCACCTCAAATAAAATACAAAGGAGACAAAAATTGTAAGGGAGCTGCTAACTTAAAAAAAACTATAAACATATATATGTATTCCCACTCTAGACCATTATTTTGCTACACCAAGTAACACATATCCCATTAATCCCAGGCCTTCCAGGTTTAAGCCTTTGAGATATGATGGGGTATCATTATTGGGGATATAAAAAGGGCTTTCAGAGGGAGAGAAACACTCACCAGGAATTTGGGCTCCAATACACATGCATGGATATAGGGCAGACAAAGACTGTGGTGGGGAGGGGAGCCAGGACTGGACTTTGAGGCCACACTTGGATACCTGGAGAGATAAGAATCCTCTATGAGGAAAAAAAAAAAAGCAAAACAAAAAATGACAGGGCCTCACACTGTTGTGTTTTGTACCAGGACTGCTGTTACAGTTGCAGGCTTCATCTCTTGGGTATACCATTCAAGACTGACAAAGACTTGCCCTGAAAATTCTGTTCATCCCACAAGATGCCCTGAAAACATGACTGTGGCAAAGACCACCTGGACACAACACAACCCCAAGGACACCACTGAGAGACAATAGCCTTGCTCCAGTCACAGCAGAGGCTGACTAGTCTATTCACAGCAGAAGCCTGAGGATGCCATTCATAGGAGGCTATCTCCAGTAGAGTCTTATAGCAATGGATTGTCACCCCTGGTTCTTCACAAATCTTGGGTCTCTAACTTTGTTCTTCACTGCAGTTCTAGCTGAGGTTGACCCAGCCAATTGGACACTAAGCAAAAGGTGCTTGTTAACTCCAACCTTCTAATGGGTTTAACAGGTGTCATCTGCTTCTGCCTAGCCACCTGCTGATTACCACCTCCCCCAGACTATCTCTACATAAAGTCTTAGCCCCGCTGGCCACAGCATGTGGCCCCCACTGTCAGTCTTTTGGCCCTGGATTTGCCAGCCAGTATTGACCTCCCAACCTGCCCTGAAGCCTGTAATCACCCAATGACCAGGGGCAAAAGCTGTATTACTGGGTATAGTTCCTGGACTTTCATGCTGTCCAGTTGCTACCAGAATGCCACCTTGTGCCAGTGTGCTAGTAGCCACAGTTCCAAAGGTATACTCTTCTGGTCTGGCCAGATCATAGGCCTAGGATCAACCTGCTACAACCAATATGGAAAAAATCATTGTTGGACCAATGTGACGCACATGGGCATGTCCAATGGGGCAGTTAGTACAAGACAGGGCACACGAGGAGCAAGTGGAGAAGGTTCAGCAATACTTGGCCAGTGGGCCAAGAACAACAACAGTCCTGTGGCCATACAGATCTGCCCATCCCATACCTGCTCACCCAGTTTATCAACCCACCCTGCAGATGTACAGGCTTTTAAATGCCACCTTTAGTCTGTGTCACAGCATGATACCCCAATTCTGTTGGCTGTGCCTGCTCCTCCACAGATGGGCCCACACTGGAACCTGAGTCCAGCCATTTGGAGCCTCCTAAGAAACCCCCAGAACTACACATGAGCACATTGATAGGGCCGATGGCCTTCAGGTCTACTTTGACAGCTCAAGGCCAACATGAAGTGCCTTCATAACCCCTAGAAGGACTCCTGATCCTAGGATCCCCTGTACTTAGGACCCTGTGGTTCTAAGAATGGATTCCTAAGATCTACATCTTACTCAATCTGCTCCTGCAATCAGATATTGCCAAATAATGTGACCCAGTGCTGCCCCCTGGGGTGTTCTATTTATGTAGGGACACCCCTGATTGCTGCCTGCAGGTAAACTGGGTGGACACACATGCACAGGTTTTCCCTCACTCCTGAAATCTCCACCTATACAGAACATGAGATGGAGGCAGCCCTGCACCTTGGCAGCAACTTATGCAGGAAAAGAGCTTCTTGTTAGCCTCAGTTTCAAATAGTTCAGGAATAGCCGCAGGGCTTGCGACTGGTTTAGGAGGCATCCAGATACTAGTACACTATCCTATCAGCTGTCCTGGGAACTAAATGACGACATGGAACAGGTGGCTGGCTCAGCATTCTCACCCCAAAACCAGATTAATTCACTGGCAGCTCTAACCTTGCAAGACAAGCGTGCCCTGGACCTTCTCACTGCAGACAAGCACGGCACATGCATCTTCCTAGGAGAAGAATGCTGCTATTAGGTAAACCAGCCAGGGGTGGTCACCACAAAGGTCAGGGAATTGAGTGATAAGATCTAGCAAGAAGGGAAGAACTAGGGGAAGACTGGGATTAGATCCTAGGCCAATGGATATCATGGCTCCTGCACCTAGTGGGGCCAGTGCTGGAGCTCTGTTACTGGTGACAATAGGGCTGTGTCTCCCGAACACCCTAGTGAGATTTCCAGAGACCACCGGCACTAGGAGGGCCACTGTCTAGATCATGGCACTGCACCTGTATAATCCCCTGGGAGACAGTGATACTCGATAGGACTAGAGAGGGCATCAAAGGGGGAAATGATGAGGAGAACAAAACTTGGGGAAATAAACATAAGACCAAAGTGACAGGGTAGCTCCGAACAACTGTGTAACCATGCCCCATTCTGCTTGTACAACTCAGCCTACATGTTCCCACCTAAAGCCCCTAGGTAAAGAAAGAACAAGAGACACTCAGGGGTCAGACTGTGTGGCACCTAGCTCCTCTGAGTCTGTGGGTATAACAAATTGGTCCCTCCACCTCGCTGAGTGCTTCTTGGTGGTTCTGTGATGACAGGTTCACTGCAACACATCAATAACTAGGAAGAAAGAAGAGCAAGCTAAACCCAAAGTTAGCAGAAGGAAGAAAATTATAAAGAAAGAAATCAATTAAAGAAAGGAAAAGTTATGGGGGGAAGGCCAATAAAACAAAAAAATTGGTTCTTTGAAAAATAAAAAAAAAAAACTAAAACCCTAGATAAACTATGAAAAGACTCACATAGGAAACAACCAAGATGCCCCTCACCTGAGGAATGGCTGAAAAAGATGTGGTATTTTTATACAGTGGAGTATTACTCACCTATAAAGAATGATAAACTCAAAGCCTTTATATTGAAGTGGATGCCACTTGAAGATATACTCATTAGTGAAATAAACCAGACACACATATGTAAATATTGTATAGTTTCCCTAGTATAAGAACTCAAAAGAAGAAATACAAATCAAAAGGTATAATACAAATAAAAGGAAAGCAAGAACTTGAGGACTAACAAATCAAGAGAGGGAAAGGAGAAGAGCTAGGAAACATGACCGGGGCGAGCCATACAATTATATGTAGAAGATGGGTAAGGAAATGATCCTGAGAATCTTCAGGAGATTTTTGAATCTAGCAGTTAATTGGAAGGATTCTCACCTTGACTAACTATGTATACTGACACCTGTGAACTAAGCAACTGCACTGAAGATGGCAATTTGTAATAGTAGGTTCATGCTCGGAGTGCCTGTCATTCTGGTCTTCTGA